ATTTTTTTCTAGTTAGATTATATATGTCATCAAAAAAATATAAAAAATATCAAGTGGATGGAGTTAATGGCTTAAACTGATGAAAGTATCAAAATTGTGCAATTATTAAAGTTAAGGGATTAAAAAAGTGTAAAAATAATTTAAGGACAAAAAAGTACAAAAAATAATTTATGAACCAAAAAAATATAATTCAATAAAGTTGAGGGATAAAAAAGTAAAATTTAATGAAGTTGAGGGAAAAAAAAAAAGTAAAACTCAATGAAATTGAGAGAACAAAATTAGCATTTAACCAATTTTTTTCAAGCGGCTGTGAAATGTGACGGAACATTAACGGAATAGAAGATTTGACGGAAGTTAGTTTTCCGTCCAATTGAGAACTTATTTGAGAATTTTCGTGGAGTTCGGGACCTTCATTGAGCGCAATCGAAGTTTGAGTCCGAAATTGAGAATTTGGTGTAAGTTCGGATCCTTATGCCATATTTTTGCCTTTAAAATTCTTAATTATCATCCATAATCTCAAAGAATTTAGTTTCTAAAATCGTTCAAGATCGCACGATCTCACGATTTTGTGCGCGATTTTCGATCGATTCTTCGAGACCCAAGATTTTTGTTCGATTCAGATCGTTGAAGCCCCTTAACATCGTAAAATCGTGCGATCTTAGGATTTAGATCGCGATTTTAACAATTCAACCTACCGGTGCCGTGCAATCTATCTTTCTCTCTTAAGTTTCTTTCTTCACTTTTCCCCTTTCTTTTTTTGTTTTTTACAAGTACAATGGGGGATGACGAATAAAATTGCCAAGCGTTGAACCTTGAATTTCTAGATGTCAGTGGTTATTATTGAAATTGTGAAATTTCCAGAGCATCCTTATTGCTTTCTATGGTGGTTATTATTGTTTTTAATCCCCTTTTTCATTGACTTGACTCTACTTTTCCAATTTTTTTTTTTTTTTTTAAAATATAAATGAGTTTCTGCTTTTCTGGGAAGTTTGGCCTGCACATGAGAGATGGTCGTTTGTTTTGCAAACAATTTTTTAATGACGATATTTATTGACGTTTCAAGTGTTGACGTAAATAATGTAATTTTCAAATTATTTTAAAAAAATAATCTTAAAATATATAGAATTTAATTTAAAAATACTCTAACTTAAATAAATAAAAAAAACCCTAAATAATTCAAGATTAACCCTTTTTCAATTAAAGTTGGATTCTTTCACTGCACATTCCACGGTAAAAAAATGATGATATTTATTAATCTTTTTTGTTCAGAACACAACTTTTATAAATTCAAAAAGTATATTTATGCATAAAAATACAGGGAACAAAAAATAATTTGAAGAAAATGAGTCCTATTTCAATCATCAAAAAAAAGAAAAAAAAAAAGGGGATGGTAGTACAGACAGGGTAAGAGTTCAAAATGTAAAGCTTGTAAAAGATTGATGGGAATGGGAGGGTCAGTGGGTAAAAGAAAGAAGTTCATTACTCTAAAATACAATGATACATACACAGAAGAAAACATGACGAATCTCAGACAAAATCAAAGCGCATGAGAAGTCTTACAGATTTGAACATGTCTCCCTTCTTATCATACAGGGGTACTGCTCGAATTCCCTGTTTTAGTTCGGAGACAGGCAAACAAGTTTGGCCAGCAAATTCAGATTTTTCAATGTCATTATGCTCACGGACTTCTACTCGAAGCAAAGCCAGTTCTGGAACTGTCAATTCAAATGTAAATTCTTCATCCCAAACAGGATTCCACTTGTCTTCCTTTGTCTCCGTTCTGTGCATTTTCTTGTCATCTAGCACTCCTACTATGCCAACCTGGAAAGGTAAATAGTAATACAGGCAGATGCAATGAGCGAGCATGAAACAACTTCATTTCCATCCAATGTCCAAACAACTTTATTTCAACATGCTACCAATGCAAAACATCTTACCTTCGTGTAGAAATCTGGTGGGGAGTATGAATCAAAGTGCGTTGGTTTAAAATCCAAACGCCACCCTTCCCCCATGTACACTTTTACCTGTCAAGTTCGTGATAAAGGACTCAGTACTGAAAAGAGTGCAAGTTGAATGTTAGGAGATGCTTTTATTTACCAAAGTTCTCACCTTTAAAGTTTTCTTCTTCCAACACTTTGCTTTTGGATCAAACACCTGACCATCCGGACCAACTTCCGTCAAAAGCTCAGGCTTTTTAACATAACCACACCCTCCATTGGATCTAAACATCCCTTGCATCCACCAAAGATGCTTGCCATAGCCCTGCCATTAAACCAGAAACATCTTGGTTAGAAGTTGAAAATATGCTATAAACCATGCTATACAATTTAGCATAAGGAGAAAGAAAACTGTTGCTGATTTGACTCAAAAACAAACAAAATAAATATTCTCTTACCATATTTCCATTGTGATACTGTCATGTCTAAAATTCTATAAACCATAAATTTTAAAAGTTTCCATAGTAATAGTATTTGTATTCCCAGCTTCATTTTTTGATACCATGATCTTTTGCTTAACCTCTATGCAACTTAGAGAAAGGAGGTGAGATGGATATAGGAGTGTTGGAGATTAAAAACTAATACATCCACTATCCTTACTCATCCACGCTAATAATAATAATAATAATAATAATATTGATCCCCCTTTCCTTCAAGACCACAGTTTAAGATACTTATCAGAGCAAAGCAAACAACCTTAGAAAAAGAAGAATGAAATAGTCTACATCCAAACCTGCATGTTAAATGCAACCATCTGAGCTCCATGCTTCCAACCAATTAGTGGGTTGTAGTTGGAGGAGTTAAAGCGAGAACCCCTTGGGTATATCCTCAAAACATTCTTCTGGGTAAATCTAAGATGATTTGAAGGGTTAGTGAAATAAAATGTGAAGAACTTTCAATAATGCAGAAGTATCAACAGCAAAAACTGTTAACGCCTTCCAATAATGTAAAAAAACATCAACGGTACAAATTATTAAACTCATAACGATGGTATCACGAAATAGAAATTAGTAGAAACAAGTACCTTACAACATGTGTTCCATGAGACTCTGTAAACTTTTCAAGCTTTTGTTCACTTAAACTAAGGCGTTTGACTTTATCAGGTTCCACTTTTAGTGCATTCTTTAACACACCCTTTGCTTTGCCGGCCTGAATGGCAATGAGATGCTTGTATTCAGGTGCTTTTGATGGTATGAAACCAGGGTCAGATGCATCATTATCTTCATCATCTTGACTGCTCTCACTTGTATCACCATCACTAATCTGAAAGCCAATAGGACAGCCATTGGAGTGAACATCGGAAAGTATATACACAAACATACACAACTCATTTTAGTGTGTACCTTTTCTTCATCTTCTTGATCAGATGGGAGGCTTGATGGCTCCTTTTGAGATGCCCCATTCCCACGTTTGAAAGATTTTGGGATTTTCAATGGTAAACGAGGGCTAAGTAACCAACTTTTTCCCTTTGAGTTGTTTCTTTTTTCATTGATACTTGTGACGTTAGGGTACTGTTTTGGAGGCTTGGTTGATATGATAATCTTATACTTCAGTTCTTCTGGTGAAGGAAATTCTTTTAAACAATCACAGTCAGGAAGAAACACCATGTCTCCAAATGTTTGAGTAATCATCTACAGTAGAAGATTTTAAAAGTTAATGCACTGCGATTCCAAATGAAGATTGAGGCTTAAGAACATACTAAAAGTAAAAGTACCTTTGCAACTTTATCCTGAAGATTTGGAGTAAGGTGGTCTTCAAGAGTAATAATAACAGGGTATGAAGATGCCACAAAAGCAGTCTCTTTAATAGATTCCAAACATTTAATGAGTTTAACTGGAGTTGTCAGTGTCCTGCATTATTGAACAAACACCTCAGTGAACGTATATGGAGTATGAACAAGAGGGAAAAAAAAAATGATCAAAACTGACTCAAGATGAGAGGTAGTGTGGAGGAAACAAGAATTGACATTAAAAGAAATGGACACTTGACTGCTTGAAGAAACAATCAAACATGAGGAACAACGGAATTAGGACAGATTTATGATCTTTTTGGGTGCCATCTGTTAAATATAATGGTTGGGTGATTAAAGTTCATAGAGTATCCTACAGGCTGTTATGAATTAGACATGATCAGCTCATCAAACCAGGATATTGATTTCAATCAGCATGAGTTTCTCTTTACAAATAAATGAAACAAGCATTAATATAGTTCATCATCACTTCCTGACACAAACAAATGGAGCAATGTTCTATTTGACAATCCAAAACAATATACATGATTTACCTTCCATGTAGAACTTCAACTTCATCTTCATCTGAATCAGGCCATAGGTCAAGCTCCACCACTCTTAGTCCTTTCCTCAGTGCCTTTATGATTGGGACATCGCTGCTGTCACTGCTGAGTTGATTTCCAGTCAAATATGAATTGTGGCCAGTAAATATGAAATAATGGGACAAAGGAGCTGTCATGTCATGATGCACCTGCATGCAAAATCTTGTCAGACAGATTTCAAGCCCATATCCCCATACTGCACAAAAGTTAATCAACCATCTAAATAAGGAAATCCATTATTCATGCGGCCTCTCCCATTTCCTTGGACTGTTTAAAGCAGTGGAATCAAGGCTTCTTCGTTGTGCTAGAGAGAGTAAATTGGCATACAAACCCAGAAAAGGAAAGAGACGTAAATCAATCCAACCCTCAATCAGACTAAAAGATCAATCCAAGAATAAAACTTTCTCAGTCTTCAATACCCAGAAAAGTAAAGGAACTTCACAGCATTAAAAAAAGAAAACTTTTTCCATTTACATTTGGGAAGGGAAAAACAAAGTACCTGATCACGAATTGGGGGGTTTAGTTCCGCAGAGAATAAGTAATCATGAAAATCCTCAAGGGTTAGAGTGTGCTTGTCGAACTCGGTACTTGCATCCTGTTTCTGCAACGCCTGATTGACGATCTGCTCTGCCTGCGCCACTGACGCTCCGGCTTCACCCTGAACATCCACCAGGAACCGCTGCAACTGCTCGGCCGTCATGACATCCCCACCATCCGCGTACTTGTTGAACTCATCTTTGACGTCCTGTGGCGGCTCTGGATCATCGATCTTAAACTTCCTGGTGAAGAACACTCCAATCCTGTAGCGATCCATCTCCCCTGCACTAGATCAACTCTTCCGATTCTGGGTGTTCAAAAAATAACAACTTTATTGTCTTTTCTGTGTGATTAATATAGATTGAAGAAGGTTTTATATAGGACTTGGGAGTTTCATCGTGCTTGTTTTCGAGGTTTTATCCAGGCAGCTTCATCCGTCTTCCCGCCTTCTATTTTATTGAGATTAACGACTTTAAACAATTCTCTCCTTTTGGTTTTTCGAAGAAAAATTGTACCAACTCTTAAATAAAGTCATTTCTTTGACGAAATAAAAAAAAATTAATTAATTATTTTCTTAATGTCCAAGTAACTTTTTTGTATTCCCATTCATCTACTCCAACGAAAACAATGGAGATACGTTCGAGAAGGATGAACAGTATATATGCGGGTC